TGAATTTTCTTTCAGCTTTTACAAGTTTCTCTCTCTCTTCTGCACTCTTGTAAAAAAAGCCAGAATTCACTTCTGTTTTCTCATATTCCAATGACACATTGCATGTGAGGATGTATGCATCTTCTACTCTTTTTTTCATATCCGGATGCCGTGCCCCATGGTCCGAAACAAGACCTCTGATTAAGCTTGTATCAGTTTCAGATTTATGTTTCATCTCCATGATCTCAACCATGAAGAGGTCAATAGGTTCATCTTGTTTTTTAATGGCCAAAATGGAGTCCACTACAGCTTCTGTTAAGACATCAGCAAGTTCAGCATGCACATTAGTACATAGAGATGTTCTGGCCACATCTATAAGTGTTTCCCTGTCCATTTCTTTGCTTACTTTGACTTGTTCCAAAAACTGAAGTGCCTTTTCCTTTGCAGCTTCAAATCCTTCTGTTATTATTCTGGGATGAAGACCTTCAGAAATGTAGAGATCCGCCTGTTTCAGTAGCTCTCCAATGATTAGAACATTGGAAGTGGTACCATCACCAGTTATGTCATCTTGGGCTGTTGCTACTTTGGCTATTAAGGAGGCTGTTGGGTGTTGAATTTGCATTTCATGAAGCAGCACGTTGCCATCTTTAGTAAGCTTGATGTCTCCAGCACCAGAAACAAGCGTCTTCATGGTGCCCTTAGGCCCCAAGTTGGTCCTCAGCACGTCCTGCAGGCCCCGGGCCGCGCTGATGTTCACCGCCAGTGCAGCCTGGGCTCGGGCTACCTCGGCCTTGGGGTTCAGGGTCTTCACGGCCGCCATAGCTAACTAGCACAGGAAGAGGAGAAGAGCCAGCGTGTGGAGGGCCCAGAGCCCGCTCAGCATGTCCCAGTAAACATGAATTCTATGATGGTACACGGGGCTGGGGCAATATGGAGAAATTGTTGGCAGCAGATTATTCACTATCCCACCACAAAGTAACAATCCAGTTTACCCCAAAATGATCGAGCAGAGCTGATTTTCAGGGGCTAGAGGTTGCCAAAGAATGGGGAAAAGGAGCAAATATGAGAATGCTTATTGAAAAATAATTGGCATATTGATGACTGCTTGGATATGAAATTAGGGAAAAGGGTAAGAATAAAGTCAGTGTCCACCATGCACAAATATAAATTCAAAATGAATTAAAGGCTTAAATGTGAGACCTGAAACGATAAAAATCCTAGAAGAGAGCACGGGCAGTAACTTCTTTGACATCAGCCATAGCAACTTCTTTCTAGATATGTCTCCTGAGAAACAAAGGCAAAAATAAATTATTGGGGCTACTTCAAAATAAGAAGTTTCCCCACAGTGAAGGCAACAATCAACAAAACTAAAAGGCAACCTATGGGATGAGAGAAGATGTTTGCAAATGACATATCTGATAAAGGGTTAGTATCCAAAATATGTAAGGAACTTTAAAACTCACACCCCAAAAACAAATAATACAATTTTTAAATGGGCAGAAGACATGAACAGACATTTCTCCAAAGAAGACATACAGATGGCCAAAAGATACATGAAAAAATGCTCAACATCACTTATCATCAGGAAAATGCAAATCAAAACCACAATGAGATATCATCTCACACCTGTCAGAACGGCTAAAATCAAAAACACAAGAAACAACAGGTTTTGGCAAGGATGTGGAAGAAAAGGATTTCCATTGCACTTATGCACTGTTGATGGGAATGCAAACTGGTACAGCCAATGTGGAAAACATTATGGAGTTTCCTCATAAGGTTAGAAATAGAATTACCTTATGATCCAGCAATCACACTACTGGGTATTTACCCAAAGACTACAAAAACACTAATTCAAAGAGATATATGCATCACTATGTTTATGGAAGCATTATTGACAATAGCCAAGATATGGAAGCAGCCCAAGTGTCCATCAACTGACGAATGCATAAAGAAGAGGTGGTGTGTATATATGTAATGGAATATTATTCAGCCATAAAAAAAGAATGAAATCTTGCCATTTGCAACAACAATATATGGAGCTAGAGTATTATGCTAAGTGAAATAAGTTAGTCAGAGAAAACAAATACCATACGATTTCACTCATGTGGAATTTAAGAGACAAAACAAGCAAAGGGGAAAAAAATTAGAGAGAGAGATGAATCAAGAAACAGGCTCTTAACTCTAGAGAACAAACTGATGGTTACCAGAGGGGAGATGGATGGGGGGATGGGGGAAACAGGTGATGGGAATTAAGGAGTGCCCTTGTTGTGATGAGCACCGGGTGTTGTATGGATGTGTTGAGTCTCTATATTGTACACCCGAAACTAATATTACACTGTATGTTCACTAACTGGAATTAAAATAAAAACTTAAAAAAATAAAGTCGGTGTCTAAATTTTGAATTTGAGAAGTTGAGAATCATACTTGTCCTACTGTAAAAAAGGAAAAAGTGGAAGCAGTTGGCAGGAATCTTATCTCAGGGGAGATGATATGTTTAGTTTTGGAGTGTGGAGAAGGAAATGATATTGTAATTCTCAATAGATAACACACAGTTGTCGGCTGATGTGAAGCCTGGGGTTCAGAGGAAAGGATTAGAAATATGGATTTGAGAAACTTTTTCAGAGAGAGCATCATTTCCACAGTGGAAACCTTGCTGCTAGGTGAGATCTATAGGAAATGTGGAGAGTGAAATGAACAGAGAGTGAAGGACTGAATGAACATTGTCCAATCAACCTGGCTTCTTGATGAAGAATTTTCCTTTTTTTGATTGATCCTCAGTCTTTCAGAAATGCCAACTTAGCTAATGTTACACCTCTGCATGTTTCAAGTAGCTAATGAATATAGTCCTGGACAGAGGGACCATCATAAGCAATATCATTTCTCGTGGGTCATCCTGGGCTTACTTCTGGGCCAAAAGCAGTTAAGTGCTCCAGTTTAAGAGCCTGGAGGTAGAATCAGGACATGCCCAGATAATATTAGATAGGGTGAGTGTGTTATAATAAGAATTTACATTTGATCTTGCCCCTGGTTCCTGTCATAGATCTCCTAAAATTTTGAAATCCCCTGAGTGATAGTGTTTTTTTGTGTGCTAATGAGATGTCTCCTGGCTGGGACCCCTAGACAGATTCTGGATGAGGGCCGGTTACCAGAAAGACCAAGCTGTGATAAGAAGTTTAGAAATTTTAGCACCTTCCCCGCCCATCTTTGGGGAGAAGAGGGGGCTGAAGATGGAATTCAATCACTGTGACCAATGATTTAATTAATCATGCTACATAATGAAACTTCCATAAAAACTCCTAAACAATGGAGTTTGGAGAGCTTGGTTGGTGAACACATCAATCAAAGAGCTGGGCAGATGGGGAGCCTGAAAAGGACATGGAAGTTCTATGCCCTCCCTCACCCCCATACTTGCCAGGGTCATCTCTTTCTTTTGGCTGTTCTAAGGTTGAATCCTTTATAATAAATCAGTAATAGTAAGTAAAACACTTCTGTGAATTCTGTGAGCCACTCTATTGAATTATCAAAGCTTAGAGGAAGTGGTGGGAACCCTTGGTTTTGTGGTCAGCCTGGCAGAATGACAGTAGCCTACCACTTGTGTCTGAGGTGGGAGCAGTCTCGTGGGACTGAACCCTTACCTATGAGGTTTGATGGTCACCCCAGGTAGTGTTGAAATTGATTTGAACTGTTGGACACCCAGTTGGTGAGAGACTCAGAGAATTGATTGGTGTTTTGTAAAGATACCATGTATCTGGTGTCCAGGGCCAGGGGCGGGGTGGGGGGGGGTACCTCTCTATAGTCCTGGAGGGTGCAGAGCTTATCAGTAATATTCACCAGTTCCGGTAATTCACCATTCTTGGCTCTCTGTCCTGACTAATGGAAGTGTTTATCTGGCTCTTAGTCATGAATGTCACCTTCCTGGAGCCATATGTCAACAATATACAGTGTTGCAGAGAATTCACATAGAATGGTGACTAGAACATTACAAAAAAAAAAAAATCTCTGATAATAGGTTCTTGTAAAATGTGTGGTGGCAGAAGCCCATTCTGAGGATAAGGAATGAAACTATAGTTTGAGGATATGGAGACCAGGTAGACTGATCACTTGTCTGGAAAGCGTTGGCAGAGAGGAAAGGAGCTACATGGCCCAATGGTCTGCAGGCAACCTTGATTCCGCCAACGGTTACTTGGGTCTCCTCTGTAGGCAGTCCTGTAATCCTGCCTCAAGCATGTGGTTGAGAGCAATATTGTAAGTTTGATTGCTATAAAATGACTTGATCCAGCATGGGAAATAAATCACAGTTAGGGACTGTAATAGGTATGAAGGAGATCAGGAAGTTGTGCCAAGATTTAAAAAAAAGAAGAGAAAAGAAAGAAAAATATTTTTAAGCTTGTAAATAGTAGACTTCAGTTTCAACCCACAGGATTTGTGTACATGTGGGAAGGGCATAGGAAGTCTCCAAATAAACTTGCTTATTTTATGAGAAAGCTGAGGTAGCTCTTCTTTAGATCTCCGACTGGTTATCAAAAGGGCAGGGACAGAGACTGAATCCTCAGTCCCACACTTGTCTTCTTCTTCTCTCCCCTGGTTCCTGATTCTGTGCACGGCCACCATGCTGCAGGCCTATCTTCCCACCCACAAACCTGTCGTTCCTCTGCTTTCCGCCGTGGTGTCTCCTACGCTTGCCCAGCTCTCTCTCTTAATTCTCTGCATTGCATGCTATCCTTCCCTTGAGATTTATTACAAATGTCCTATTCCCCATGAAGACTCCCCTGAAGACCCTCCTACAGTCCTCTCTCCTGCTGGGGTCTTACAGCTCGCTTTTACCGTCCCCGTTTACGGGCTGTTCTGAATGTCTGGCCAGATTGAAAGAGCTGTCAGAAGGAATATGGCGTATACATATTTACTTTATCCACACGATCTATTGTATCTTTCCGTATAATCTTCATTTCTTTTATTTATTTTTTTTTAAGATTTTCTTTATTTGTTTGAGAGAGAGAGCACAAGCTGGGGAGAGAGACGGAGAGGGAGAGGGAGAAGCAGACACCCTCCCGAGCAGGAAGCCCGAGGCGGGGCTCCATCCCAGGACCCTGGGATCATGACCTGAGCCAGAGGCAGACGCCCAACCGTCTGAGCCACCCAGGCGCCCCAAAACGACGTGTCTGCATTGGCCAGAAATCGAACCCGGGCTTCCCGAGTAGCAGGCAAGAATTCTACCACTGAACCACCAATGCTGTGCTTTTATTTCTATATTTTTTTCTTCATGATGTTTTTTAGTCTAACTGGCCTAAAGATTTTAGCACCAGCAAACTGGAGTGACCTCTTCCCTCCTTTGTACACGTCTTCCTGAATCACTGTCCGCATAGATCTGTGTTATGTATATATATATATATATCAGAAAATATATGTAGGTAATGATAAAAGGAAGTGAAGAATAAACATCAATAGTTTGAACTGAAGACTGAAGTTAATTTAAAACCTAATTATCAGGGACTTCCTCAAGACACAGGGTGTGACTTAAGTTAATAAACTTCTCATAACAGGCATTCCTGAAATGGAAAGGCTTTTTCTCACACAGAACATACTTTATTGACTCTTCTGTGGGCTATATTCATAGTTAGGACTAAAAAATCCAGTGGGCTTAATTCCCAGGAGTGTCTCAACACTGGAAACAGCCTTTTGTCGGGAAGAAGAATGCTACTAATCTGATGTGGTTTTAGGAGCACCAGGAAGGCCCTCTCCCCACCCATCCCCTCCAGCCCTGAAATACCAGTTCTCACTTGACAAATACAAATAGTATTAGGGTGCCTGGGTGGCTCAGGCCGTTGAGCGCCGACTCTTGGTTTTGGCTCAGGTCATGATCTCAGGGTTGTGAGATCGGGCCCCC